GAGCTAGTTTCCAGCAATAGCTAGCAGTGTAACCGCTGCTGGCCACACTACCATTTTTTAAATTATGTTCCTTGACTTTCTCAAGCTTCTAATTGTGCCCTATTCTCCACTGATTACTGGGCTGCGTGTGTCCTCTTCTGGCCCATTTAATTCACCAAACTAGTAAGGAACACTTCTGATGCCAAGGCACAGCCCCTTTCTCCCCTACAGCCATAGATCTAAGGACATGGTCAAGGCCAGTGGTTCCCAACACTGTCTGTGCATCAGAACCACTAGAGCAGCCTTGTGAAAGTTTGTGTCCCAAGAGATTGGTTCAGTAGATCTGGGATGGAAGCCAAGCACTTGCATTTATATAAAGCTCTAGGTAGGTCTGGTATGCAGCCAGGATTGAGAACGTTGGATCTAGCCACAGTTGATTGACAAAGGTGATTATCCTCACCTTAATGAGAAAGAAACCTTACCTCTTGGAAGTGACTTGCTACAGTCTCACAAGTCAGCAGGATAAATTTAAGTCTACTTTCTGATACTTGGAATTCTTCCCTCTTACCTTTTCAGCAGCAATAACTTTTAAAAAGCATTGTTTAATAATTTCATATTCATTATTAAACCCTGACACTCTGTCAGGGACTTCTGTAAAGTGCTTAAGAGCAATGATGTCAGCTTAAGCACTAAGGTGCATTTGATTCAAGCTATATCTTTTAGTCACCTGTATATCTAAGAGCTGGATATTTAATAAAGATGACAGAAGAAATATCGTTGTCTTTGATTATTTTGGTATTGAAGAAGAGTGATGAGCGTCCCATGGACTGCCAAAAGTACAAACACATGTCTTAGAGAAAGCGCAGCCAGAATGCTCCTTGGAGGCAAGGATAATGAAACTTTGTCTCACATACTTTGGGCATTTTGAGGACAGGGCAGGGTTCAGATATGCTGTTCATACAGTCACTATGAGCCAGGCCCACCTGAACAGCACAGAGCTACAACAGACACTAAAGAGCACTCAGCCTAAAGGTGAGTAAATTGTCATCCCTGCCCTCCAGGAGTCACTATCTAGAACAGAAGACAGGAACAAAAAACCATTTCTCCTGACTGTAAACAGAGTGCTATGGAGAGTCCACTCTGGGGGCGAGGCGGGCCTTTACAATGAAGGTAATGTTCACCAGAGCCTGGAAACGTAAGACTTTTTGCCTGGCAAAGAAGGGCAACCTTGGCAAGAAAACCACATGAACAAAGGCAGGAACATGCAGTGCACAACAAGAAGCAGTGAATAGTCCCCCAAAACAGGATTCTAAAGTAGCAGCCTTGGCCATAATTCTGAAAAGATAGTATGAGGACAGATAGCAAATTTTTACATAGAAAGATATTGCTGGATAACTAATTACTAATAACTTCTCTATCATTCCTCAAAGGAAACTGCCTTTTAGGAAGCCTCGAGGGCATCAGCCAAGTCTGCTATCGCTGTTTAAGGTCAATAAAGGTTGAGCTATTACAGTGTTGAAGTAATAAACGGCATGTCATATTTGCATTTATAGGCTGATACAGCGTATAAATAGAGCATATAAGAGTGCTGTTAAAAACAATGTGGGATACCTGTATGTATATGAAGTATAAAAAGGGAAAGATAACATAGGTCAGCGAAAAGAATTCTATATTTGTAAGTATATATGTGCGTAGTATTTAGGGTGGGTTGTTTTTTTTATCACATAGCATCCTGTCTCCATACCTTTTCAACATGTATGCAGAGCAGATTATCCAAGAGGCTGGGCTCTATGAGGAGAATTATGGCATCAGGATTGGTGGAAGATCTATTAACAATCTGCGTTATGCAGATGACACAATCCTGCTTGCTGAAACTGAGGAGGACCTCATGCACTTGCTGCGAAGGGTCAAGGACTGCAGCCTTCAGTATGGACTGAGGCTCAATGTCAAGAAGACAAAGATTCTCGCCACTGGACCAATTAGCAGCGTCAGGATGGATGACGAAGAGATTGAGAGTGTTCACAGCTTCAGTTTGCTGGGCTCCACAGTTAACACTCTTGGTACCAGCAGTCAGGAAATCAAAAAGCGTATCGCGATGGGAAAGTCTGCTGTTAGGGACCTCTCAAAGGTACTCAGGAGCAACGGTGTCTCTCTGGAGACTAAGGTGCGCCTGATACAGGCCATGGTATTTGCAATCGCTTGTTATGCATCAGAGAGTTGGACAATGACTAGGGAGGACAGAAGGAGAGTGGATGCTTTTGAGCTGTGGTGCTGGAGAAGGGTACTGAATGTACCATGGACTGCCAAGAAAACAAACAGATTCATCTTGGAGAGGATTAAAACAAGCTATTCCTTGGAGGCAAGGATTCTGGGGCTTCGTCTGACATACTTTGGACATGTTGCCAGGAGGGACGGGTCCTTGGAGAGAGACATCATGCTTGGGAGGGTGGAGGGACAGCGCAGGAGGGGAAGACCCTCTGAGATGGATTGATTCGGTGACTGGGGTAATCGGGATGGGTGTATCAGAGGCGGTGCGGTTGGCGCAGGATAGAGCAGGGTTTAGGGCTGTTGTGCATAGGGTCGCTATGAGTCGGAAACAACTCGACGGCACATAACAACAACAATGTACCTTTATACTTACATAATTCTTGTTAAATACTGTCAAATCAGAAATGACCCATAGCTGAACCTCCAGCAGGTTTTCAGAGTCACTAAGTTTCACGGGAAGAGATTACGTGTTCTTCTGCTGAGCAGCTGGTGGATTCAAACCACATGCCTTCACACTGGCAGGGCAACTCCTTACCACTGTCAAGTATGACTCAGCGACCCTATGAACAACAGATCTAAACCCTGTCCTATTGCCATCCTCATCATCTCTGACATAACTTGAGCGCATTGCTGCAGCCACTGTGTCAGTCCATCTCATTGAAGGTCTTTCCAAGGATGTTATCTCTTTCCAAGGAACAGCCCTTCCTAACAATATGCCCAACGTATGTGAGATAAAGCATCACCACCCTTGCTTCTAAGGAGCACTCTGGCTGACCTTTCTCCAGGACAAGTTTGTTCTTTTGCAATCTGTGTGGTATTCAGTACTCTTTTCTAGCACCACAGCTCAAAGACATCGATGCAAGGAATGTATGCGGTTTAAAAAGAGAAATTTCCACTTTTTACCATTTTTAACTTTGAATTTTTGAATGGCTTACCATGAACTTATATTACTTTTATAATTGAGTTTAGCCAGAGTTTTGTTAACTTCAAACTTGATAAACTTAGAATATACGTGTTACCAGATCCCGTACTAACTTAACAAAATCTTCTCTTTGAGTCCCCAGTTACTAAAGTAAGAAGAAAGCTCCCAGCTTTACAACATAATCAAATTTCCTGCTGATGTTTATAGAACACTTGAGATTTGTATTATAAAAGTACTAGAGACCGATATATCTGATTGATCATTGGCCCTGCCTTGCCTTGTTCCCTCATCCTACCTTAGAGTATTACAAGACCTGTACTATTTTGAAACTTTCTTTCCAAAACACACTCTTCTGCTTGTTTAAATGGAACATATGATGGCAGTAGCTGCACAGGAACTGCCAACCTGCACTATGACATAAAGTAAATGAGAACTTACTTTCCTCCTGAAGTAATAACTACAGTCAACCTCGAGAATCTGAATGTGAGATCTCACAGACAGGCCTTTGTTATAATTCCTTTCCATAGCATTCTGGGAAACTTAATAAAAACTGGGATTTTCTAGTAATGATCTTTATCAAAAGGAGCATTAACTTTGGCTAATTCTACAACATAATTCTGGATGACATGTTTAGGCAAAGTCACTTGTATAATTCTTGTGTTTCAAGGCAAGGCTGCTTGAATAAAGTCTTAAGGTGCCAGGTAATTAAGTAAAATTAGTACTTGCAAATCATATATCAACTCATCCTAAAAGCAGTTTCATATGAATGTAATTTAATAGTTAAACTGAATTAAATATCTGAGTGCCGATTCAAAGACTTTGTAACTGATGAGTAGGTAGATGCCCTTTCATATTATTTGACATCAGGAATGTTATTTCAGAAATGTAGAAAACTCTGAAGAAAATAAAGTTCTCTGTGTGTGGGTTCTTGATGGAGAGAGAAAGAGCATCAAGTGTTTAGGAGTTTGCCCCAAATACTATCAAAGCCTGTAAACAAGCCACAAATGGAAGTGTCTTGTCTCCCAGCTTTGATTTGCTTTACCAAGACCAAACACTTGAGATTCTGACATATTCTTTGTCTTATGGGAATTGGTGGTACTCTGTAAATTAAGGTAGGAATCCATATGTAACCAGGTAATCTTAACAAAGATAGAATTCTTGGAGAAACACACTATCTCCCTTTAACAGACCTAGAAACCGGGTGAAAGAAGTGAAAGGTATGCACAAGGCATATAATGAGTAGTTGTCCAGGTTTCAAACCTGTGTTTTTCTGCTTAAAAGAGGCACTTCACTGGAGTACCAGCATTACTTATGAAATGGAAATATCATAAACAGCTAAATGTCTTACTGTTTTAATATTCTAACAAGGATTTATTAAGTCTCTTACTGTTGTTCTTATGAAACACCTATGTTAGAAAATAATAGTGTATTTCATAGCTTTTAAAACACATAATGTAAATCTATATTTTTTACAGGGAAATACTCATTTACTAAGTCAGTTATTCAATGGTAAATTTATTATCTCCTTTTTTTATACAAACAGCTTGAGATGTATAATACATGTCACAAGTATAAGTGTTAAAAGTATTTGTACCCATGTTCTTTTAATTGTAATTTTCTAAGTATTAACAAGCCAGTGGTCAGAAGGCTGCCAGTTGGGGAAAAAGAAAAGCAAATACTAAAAAGTTAAGGAAGGAATTAAATTCTTTCTGTCATCTACTCAGTAGCAAATCAATCTTTGGATGATTAAATTGGGCAAATTGTCTTAGATGAGATTTTTTTTTTTTTTTATCACCTTCATTTCATGTCATGCCCTTCTCTTCTTTTTCAGTAACAGTTGCAAGTAGCCAGTATACTCCAGCCAAAGTCCCCAAGATAACGAGTGATCCACCAGTCTCCTCCCCATCGTCAGCTGCTTGTGCACCTAGCTGTACTGGAGACCTCCCTCTTCCATCTAACACTCCCACGTTAGCTGCTAAAACACCTCCTGCCAAGGCCCCGTCTCCTGTCAGTAGAAGAGGCTTGACCTCCTCTATCTCTCCCAAGCTGCCACCTTCTTTCAAGATGTCAATTAGAAACTGGATGACCCAGGCACCGTCCTCATCTCCACCCATCACTCCACCTACTTCTGAGACACAGATCCCTTCTCCGAGAAAAGCCCTCATTCCTGTAAGCCAGAAATCGTCCCAAACCGTGGCTTGTCCTGAGTCTAGAAACAGAGTTAAGAGGAGGCTAGACTCAAGCTGCCTGGATAATGTGAAACAAAAGTGTGTGAAGAGATGCAATTGTGTGACTGAACTTGAAGGCAGAGCTGAAAAGCTCCATTTGGATCTGTGTTCCCTTACTGGTAACCAGGAAGACCTGGGTAAGAACTCTGAAGGTCTGACCAAATCAAGCATCATTGAAGGAGCTAGTTCAAGTATTTCTGAGCCTCCTTCTCCTGCCAGTCCTTGTGCTTCAAAAGGCTGTGGATCACTGCCTCTTCCTTTGTTATGTGAAGAAGGATCAGAAGTCGTAGGCAAAGAGAATAACTCCCCAGAGAATAAAAACTGGTTATTGGCCATGGCTGCCAAACGGAAGGCTGAGAATTCGTCTCCACGGAGCCCATCATCCCAGACCCCCAGTTCTAGGCGTCAGAACGGGAAAGTATCACCAGGCCTGGTAAGGGGTCAGTGGGAAGATATATTCCTTAAATTGAAGGGCTATAAAACAAATTGAGCCATTTTGGGGTGGAGTGTTTTATATCTGTATTTTAGTGTGTACCTTCAATTCAGAACCAACTCATAGTGGACCCTTTAGCAGGTTTTCAGAGACTCCACACAGGTGGAGATTGACCACATACATGCCTTAGGGTTGATAGCACAACTTCTTATAACTAGGCCGTCGGCACGCATGTATACATGTATTTATGTATGAGTGTGTGTATGTATGTATGTATGTATGTGTGTATGTATATGCTAGATTTGTATTAAACACAGTAGAAATTGTGAGTATGGCACAGGTCAGGCAAAATTTCAGTCTATTGTACAAAGGAAACACTGTGAGTTGGAGTTGACTCACTGGCTTCTAACAGGAAACCTAATTAGTTAGTAGTGTCATTTACCCTTGGTGATCTTTGTAAATATTCTGTCTAATATTGAAAGTAGTGTGTATTAACTATTTTACTATTTTTCTCTCTTCAGTTTTGTCAGTGTTTGTTTTCTCTATTCAGATGCTGGGTACATATGTATGTTTAAATCTCCTTGATTAATTGACCTCTTTACCATTACATTATGGCCATCTTTATCTCTTCTGTCAGATTTTGTCTTAAAGTCTACTTTGTCTGATAATGAGATTGCTGTCTCACCTCTGTGGTTGCACAGGATGCTTCTGTCCCATCCTTTCACTTTCAGCCTGTCTGTGTCTGTCCAACTCTCTATTGATTTTAAAGTGTGCTTCCTGTAAACAGCCTGTAGTTAGTGCCATCCTCTTTTTGTAAATAAAATTTGTTGTTTATGAGCAAAATGCCAACATGCATAGATTTCCCTTTTGTAATTATAGTTTAAGATTATTTTAAAGACATGGATAACCTACACAACAATTTAAAAAATAATCATTTTGCCATTTTAAGAGGAAGGAAGTTCCTATGATAATTGAAACTGGTGGCTCTTGTTCTCTGTTAAGTAGAAGCTGAAGAGTTGGTCAAACTCCAGTCCAGGAGTCATGGTGAGCAAGCTCTGCCTTCTTGAGGGCAGAAGCTACATAGCTTTAGGTCTGTTTTACCTCAGGAAGTGTTCAGATCCCCCACTGTTTATTGAAATCTATCCCATAAGTATAGGAAAAATAAACTAGAAAATAAGGAATATTTGAACATGAACTCCAACCAAGAGCTTATAAATTACAAAAAATGAAAGTGGAAGAAAAGCTATCTTTCTTTTCTCTGTCAAAATTGGGGTCTGTTTGCTCCTTGTGTCTAACTCACATACCCAGTTTGTTTGGTTTTTTGTTGGGTTTGGTGGTTTTCTCCCCCAGGACAGTTGGTTTCAAACTTTGGAGGCCTGTTGGGTGTTGTTCTGCCAACCTCAAGTCAGGCAGTTCAGATTCACCAGCTATTCCGTGGGAGAAAGATAAAGATGGGCAGTCTCTTCCCCTGTGATTTGTTGTCTCTGAAAAAACCCACTGGAGGGTCAGCTATGAGTTTGTTCCAGCTCTACAGAAATAATGTGTTAAGAGAAAAACAATTCCAATGAAAAGTTCTTTTTCACTTCTGTGTAAATATTTGAGGCTTTAAAATAATGTGCTGATCTAAGATATTTTTGGTTTTATTTCTATATTTAAAGTTATAATTTCTTTAAAAGTTTTTTTCTTATATGATAACACTTCAGAAAAGATTTAATAGCTATTGTTTGAATTCCTAGCTTATTTATACATTTGAGTAGCCAATTCTTTTATTTCCGAGAAGATGGTAATTGTACCCCCTTTTGTTTCTGTGGGTAAGCTTAATTGTCAAAGTATTTTGTTCACATGCAGAGTCTATGCCTGCTGTCCTTGCTTACCATTTAAATCTTTCATTAGGAGTGAATGCTAAATAATCCAACTTACAGATATTCTAACTTTAAAAACCTTTAGTGATAACTTCCTGAAGTAACCCCTGACCTTTTTCTTTGGGAATCCCTGAAATCTAAACCTTGATCTCCTAGGTCACCATTACTCCCAGCTCCATGAGGAAGATCTGTACGTACTTCCATCGAAAACCCCAAGACAGCTACAGTAGTCCCGAACAATCAACTTAATGATGGATTGCAGCGTGAGTGAGCTTATTAACAGGACAGTGATACACTACGACCCCAAGCCACTTTGCTTTAAAAAGCTGCCATCTTTCTGTTTTTAAAATCTTTATGATCTTTTTATATTCAGAGAAAAATTCTTTCAACGTGGAAAGTCTGTAGTTGAATCTACTACCACTTTGTAAAAGCCATGTCCCCTGGATGAATGCAGTGTTTCAGTTTCATAAAGTAAAATGTTACCACTCTGTAGTACGTTGATTGAATAGTCTTCACTTTATAAATGTGACATCTTCTGTACAGTCAGAGTTCATGAAGGCGACAAGCCTGTGTGTCTTGTCATCATGAAGCTTCCTGTGCACAGTGAGAATCACAGGAGTGGGCCCATGTGTAAGCCTACTCAAGCCCCCGGGATCTATTCTGCCTCAACCAAGTGTCATGGTATTAGAAATACATAATCTTTCCACTGTACTCTTGTAGGAGTTTCGTGCTTTTGTTTTTAAGTATTGTGCAGAAAGATGATGTTCAGATAGGTACTTTTATACTGGTTCACTATAAAAATACAGTTTATTTTAAAGCCAATGATAGCTGTCATCTTCTTAGAAAAATTAGGACAACAATGCAAAGTTCTGGTCATCTTTTTTTTTCCCCATAAAATAAAGAATATTTTAATAGCAAATTTTTCCATAAAAGAGTAGAGGTCATGACCTCAGAGTTAAGCAGATCCTCCTAAGGAAGAAGAGATAAAAACTGTACACAAGTATTCTATATTACATACCAAATTACATTCTAAAATATAATATTCAGTATTGTAGAGAAGATGGTGGAGGAGTTAAGGGAAAATTAGGAAACAGTTTTATAGAGAAATATCAGAGTTTACAAAGTGGAATTTAATTACAAACCCACCGTAACTTTCTGTAGATGGTTGAGACTTTTCCTGTTTTACCAGAGGAAGACATATCTAAGTTCAATATTCATACACTGACACTGGGGTTCAAAATTGGTTTCTACAGGTACTCAGTTCCCTGGAGCTACAACTTATGAAAAAGTAATGATTTCTGATACTCAGTTTTTTGATTGTTTGATCTTTGGGTTTTTGGGGTTTGGGGTTTTTTTATTAATTTTAATGAAAGTTTACAGAGACTTAGGGTTTTCAGTCATTCATTGTTGCACTTTTCTCCCTGCCCATCCTTTCCCCCCCCAATTCACTTTTCTTCTTGAAAAGTAAAAGAAAATCTTTTTCATTGTTATGCAGTCCCTCCCCGCAAGTCCCCTCCGCTGTGCCGTCTTCATTCTGGACTCCTGTCATAACAATAATACCCAGTTATATATCCCTTTTAAACAGTTCTCTACCTCATCTGTTTCATTTCAGTATATGTCCTTCATCCCCTCCTTCTCAGTCTCTCTAATACACATATAAAGTAAAAAACCTCCTAATAATGGCCCTAACTGTAAAGGGGTCGGGGGGAGAAACTGACTCATAAATTTTCTCTGAAATTTAATAAGCTGAGTGTGTAGACTAAGTTAAATACCTTTACAGTTATGTATTGATCACCTTGAAATGAAGCATTTATTTTATGTTTGTACATAACCTGTTAGAAATAAGCTCATTGCCCTGTGTGCTTATACTTGGAAGGAGACTCAAACCATGAAACTTGAAACCATATTCTTGAGGATTACAGTCTTTATTTCCACTTTTACCAGAATTTTAAAATCTATTCTTAATGTAGGGTCTTTTTTTTTTCCTTTTTATTGAATTAAGCAGAACTTCAGAGGACTATTTAATTCTCTGTAGTTTTATCCAAAGAGGAAAAAAAAAGACATAAAGAGCAGCTCTAAAATCACAAAGGTAAAAGTAAAGCACACCATAGCATTAACTATTTACAAACTCTGTTTCTGTCCAGTGTTGGGCTGTGGGACAGTATCATCTATGACCAATACCTGTCAATACTGTCTCTTGCTTTTAAAAACCAGTTGTTTGTTGTTATGTGCCATTGAGTAGTCTGAGACTCATAGTGTCCCCATGTACAACAGCCCTAAACCCTGGTGTATCCTGGACCAATCTTTATTGTCTCTGACACACCCACCCCCATTATCCCACTCACTGAATCAATCCATTTCATCGAGGCTCTTCCTCTCTTGCACTGTCCCTCCACCCTCCCAAGCATGACCTCACTCTTGAAGGTCTGATCCATCCTTGCAACATGTCCAAAGTATGTCAGATGAAGCTTCAGAATCCTTGCCTCTAAGGAATAGCCTGGTTTCACCCTCTCCAGGACAAACCTGTTTGTTCTAGCAGTCCATGGTATATTCAACACTCTTCTCCAACACCACAGCTCAAAGGCATCAATTCTCCTTCTATCATCCGTAGTCATTGTCCAGCTTTCTGATGCATAGCAAGTGATTGCAAAGACCATGGCCTGGATCAAGCACACCTTAGTCTCCAGACTGACATCATTGCTCTTCAGTACTTTGGAGAGGTTTCTGACAGCAGACTTTTCCAATGCAATACACCTTTTAATTTCCTGGCTCCTGGTGCCAAGAGCGTTGATTGTGGAGCCAAGCAAACTAAAGCTATTTACAGTCTCAATCTTTTCACTATCCGTCACGATGCTGCCAATTGGCCCAGTGGTAAAAATCTTGATATTGAGCTTCAATCCATGTAGGAGGCTGCAGTCCTTGACCATCTGCAGCAAACGCTTCAGGTCCTCCTCAGTCTCAGCAAGCAGGGTTGTGTCATCTGCATAAAGCAGGATGTTGATGAGTCTTATTCCAATACTCCAGCCTCCCAGATGATCTGTTCTGTATATAGATTGAAAAGGTATGGATATAGGACACATTTCTGGAGTACACCCTTCCCAATTTTGAATCATGCAGTGTTCCCTTGCTCATTTATGATGACTGGACCTCCAGGTCCAAGTATAGGTTTTGCATTAGAACGATCAAGTGTTCTGGGATTCCCATTCTCCTCAGACTCAGCCACAGTTTTCAAATGCCTTTGCATAGTCAGAAGAAAAAACTAAATAACGTGTATCCTTTTAACTCATGGTAGCCTAACTAAGTGAAACTGGGAAAACTGTGGCTATCTGAACACCATTCAGACGGTCTGCTGGTTATAACACATCCCTTATAGTAAACTAACACTGCAAATCGGTGCCACATGTTAAATGTAATGAGATAATAATTATCCCTGCCCATGTCAGTGTCGGACTTTGAGTTAATCCTGAATAATAAAGCCTTTTACCTTATCTGATGTCCTTTTCTGTGCTTTTACATTAACCCAGAAGCAGTCTACACTAAAGAACTACAATAGTAATCAAGAATCTCTCTTACTTGCTCATTGAATACAATTTGTTTATTCCCAAGGATATGATCTACTTCAGGCTGAAAGAGGTTTTCGTTAAATATATGCTAGCTTGTCAGATCTTGAATATGTAAGATGGTCTGGATTGATGAAGGAGGGTGGGGTGATGTCCTCCTTTCTCTAAACAAGTTTTCCCAGCCTTTCCATTTCGGGACTTTTGCTAGGGCATTCTTTAGAGTTTCTTTATGTGTTTCATCACAGGCCTTTGATTTCTTCTTGATCGGTTGACTATGATCTCTACAATGTCTTTTAATTGGACTACTCATTTAACTGATAAAAAAAATCAAGGCAGTTTGTATGTACCTTGTGGGGAGTTAAGCCCGCACTCCTAACCTTCGAGACATCCTGAATATGAGCCATTTTTCAAAACAAATGTAATTGGTGACTGTGTATGTGTGTGTACACTTACACATGCACTGCTTTAACCCCCACATTGAAGTTAGTCTGCCATACTGATCATATAGAGGTTACATGTTAGGTCACCAAATGCTTTTAGAGAGCTTTTCGCACAGTGTCTACACTGCTGCTCTAGCTTCTGTTTTACTCCTTTTCCTAGTCCGAAGAGCATCTAGAATCCCAGTTCTTGAAAGTATTGACTACATTGAAAACTCTGTATTATGGACAGATGCACCAGAAAGAGACTCAGGGAGAAAGTTATACTAGAACACTAAGTCCTCCTAGCCCTGATGGTGTAGTAAAGTAAGTGTTGGGCTCTTATCCAACAGGTCAGTAGTTTGAATCCACCTGCCACAGGGAAAGATGTGATGAGGCTACAATAGAAAGATAGGACAAGGTTCCTTTCATTAAAGGTTTACAGCCTCAAAAACCCCGATGGGGCAGTTCCACTTTGTCCTAGAGGGTCCCTATGAATTGGAATTGACTCAGCAGTGAATTTAGAGGGTTTTTTCCTTTATGGAAATTAATAATAGGTGGTTTCTAGGTCATAATTCTAGAAGCGACTAAATATTGCTCTATTGAAACCCTTCCATTCAACTTCCAAGTAAGTTATATTGTTTCCCTCACAAGTCTTCTTAGGAGATTCTTTCCTTCCCTGGGCTTGGGTCTTGTTGATTCATCAGTTACTCATTGAATTTGAGGAGGATTATAGAACACTTGCCTGATGCATCAGCTTTTGGATATTGGTTGACAGTTATAAGCTGGCCAGACCCCAGCATGTACAGTCCAAATTGTTGGACATGAGATGAGTTTTATGCTTCACTAACTCTGATGTCAGAAATTTAAGTTCACCTTGTTTTAAAAACCTGTTTATTTCTGAGCTTTATTTGAATGCTGAAGAGTGTAGGGTTTATTAAGGTATGATGTAAATCCAGGCTTCAAAAAACTCACCTGAACATATCAAACTGTTCAGATCAGTGTTCCTACAAGTCTTTACACCAGAAATGAGAGGTATTTTATTTTTTTATTTTATTACTCTTTGTGTGTGTACTGTCAAATTGAATCTAACTGGTACAAGAAGAGACTGTCCCTCCTTAGAAAAGCATCTGGTGGATTCGAACCACACACCTCTGGGATTGCAGTGCAGCTTCTTGCCACTAGGCCACTAGAGCTCACCAAGGTATTTTCTTAAAGAACAGGCTTATTTGAACCCAAAAGCTCATCACTCCCTGCTAACCAAGGGAGGATT